TTTCTGGAATTTGTGTAAAAAAAAAATATTTTTTTTGTCAAAGTTGTCATTTAAATGATATATTTCTTGTACAAGCCATGGGTATATGTGGAATTACACCCCAAAATACATTCTGCTACTTCTACCGAGTATGGGGATACCACATGTGTGAGACTTTTTGGGAGCCTAGCCACATTAAGGAGCCTGAAATCCAATGACCACTTTGAAAGCCTGAAGGTGCGTAACTTCCTCATTTCACTTCCTCACTACCTATCACAGGATAGCACCAACCCCCACCCCCCCCGTCCCCACATGACCCCTTTTTGGAAAGTAGACACCCCAAGGAATATATAAAGAGGCATGGTGAGTATTTTTCAGACCTCATTTTTTCTCACAAGGTTTTGAAATAGAAAAAAAGAAAAAAAAAAAATATGTTTTTTTTTCTTCATTTTCCAAAAACTTGTGGAAATACACGGAGATCTGCAAAATACTCACCATGCTTCTTATCAAATTCCTTGGGGTGTCTACTTTCTAAAAAGGGGCATTTAGGGGGTTTGGTGCTATCCTGGCATTTCAGGGCCTGTGATAGGTAGTCAGGAAGTGTAATGAGGAAATAAAGCCTTTTAAAAGCCTGAAGGTGCTTATTGGATTTTGGGGTCCTGTACTTGGCTAGACTGCCAAAATGTCTCTCACTTGTGGTACCCCCATACTCGGGAGAAGTAGCAGAATGTATTTTTGGGAGTAATTCCACATATACCCATGGCATGTGTGAGCAATAAATCATTTAAATGACAATTTTATGTAAAACAAAAAAAAAAAAAGTTTGTCATTTTCCAAAAACTTATGATAAAAAAAGTTATTATTTTATCGATTCAACATGCCTCTCAGCAAATAGTTTGGAGTGTCTACTTTCCAAAAAGGGGTCGTTCTGGAGGGTGGGGGCATATTATGCCTAGCATTAGAAGTTTATGCCACACATCACTCACTCTTCTAACCACCTGAAGATCAAGACTTTTCTGACACTTTTTGTTCACATGAAAAAATCTGTATTTTTTGCTAGGAAATTAATTCAAACCCCAAAACATTACATATTTTTTTTTAAAGAAAAAATACCTTAGTGAATAAAATGGTGGGTGCTGCAATTTTGTATGTCACATAGTACTTTAAAAAGAAAATACATTTTTTTTTACTTTTAATGCACAAAAACACAATATATTGGCCAATTAATTGGTTCAATATAAAAGATGATGGTATGCCGAGTAAATAGATACCAAACATGACATGTTTTTAAAACTGTGCATGCCCCGTGCAATGGCGACAAACTGCATACATTTTTAATATCCATAGGCAACGTTTTAAAAGCCTTTACAAGCTACCATTTTAGATTTACAGAGGAGGTCTAGTGTTAGAAATACTGCCCTTGATCTGACGTTCATGGCGATACCTCACATGCAACTGCTGCTTACATACCAGCAAAGGGTCAACGCTCGCGCACACACAGGTGTGTGCACGCGGGGGGGGGCGAGGGTGCTTTTATTTTTAAAGTTATTTTTTTTTTATTATTTTTTCACTGTCCCCCTTTCATATTTTTTATCACTTTTAATGCTATCACGGGGAATGCAAATATCCCCTATAACGTTAATGGGCATTGTCATATATTCTTTAATCAAACCAAGATCGGTGTGATCAGATGTTTTGCAATTTACAAATGGCACTCTTTATATCCTGCAAAACTGAAGTGATGAAATGCTCGTAACTTCCGATTTCTTAGACTATAAAGATGATTGGCACCATTCCGGTCTCCAATCAGCTCTATGGTCAGCTGGCAGAAACACCGGCTGCATTCTCAGGTTCCCCCAATGGCACAGGACTGCCTGAGAAGGCCGTGGAAGGCAGCGGGGAAGGGGGGCATCATCTCCTGCTGCTTGTAAATGCAATCCTGCAGCTAAGTAGCAACTAGGATTGCTTTTACATGAAAGTCAATCGCCGGCTGAAAAAAACGATACCAGGGAAGATGCCTGCAGCTGTAGGCATCATCCCTGTATAACCATTCAAATTCCAGTGAGGCACCAGTACATTGCTGGTCCTTGTTGGGCATGTATGCTATGTTCTTTTTTTTTGTATGCATCCTGTGGGCTGAATGAAAAAAAGAGAAGAAATTTTTTGCCCAGAAAAAGTGTGTAGTATGCCCACCATTAGAATATACCACCTTGCATCAACCCACTTCTAATCGTGGGCACACATTAAGTCACAGGGTGCCATATGCGACAGTTCCCAGATTGTAAAATGTCTAAATAGTAGCACGCTTGAATAAAAATTTTCCACCCCCCCATATGGAAAAAGGATGACACCAAGTCCCAAACTATCTTGCCACTACACCCCATGTAGTCTGGGCATCCGGGGGGCTCCACGTGACTATCTTTTCCTCATAAATCCGAAACTTATATGTATAGCCTGTTGTCCTCTCACAGGTCTTCTACATCTTGACCCCATATCTGGAACGCTTGCTGGGGAGAAATTGTTTGAATGCAAGGCAGCCAGAAAAATTAATGAGGGACTCATCAACGCAGATTTTTTGCTGGGGAGTATAAACATCTGCAAATTTTAGGTTAAGGTGATTTACGTGGGGCTGAATTTTGTGGAGCCAGTCAAATTCAGGGTCACTTGAGGATGACAGAGTGTATTGTCGTTGAAATGCATAAAACACATTATACTCTCATATCTATGACTGGCCAAGGCAGCAGAGAACATGAGCATATGATGAATCTGATCTGTGGACCAATACAACCGCAATTAATTTTTTTTTACTAATGTTGAGGTATAGGCCACAAAAAAATGTAAATTCAGAAACTGTAATGGGTTTCCATGCGAATGGTCTGGCAAGGTTTGAATTTGGGTTGGCGCCGATAAATTGTTGTGCTTATAATTTGCTTTGATCCACAATCAATCCATACAGATACAGTATTCCTTGAAAAACAGCTCCAAAAAATAAAGGGGGGTAGTTAAATTTGCTATTTCCACCTGAATTCCGAGTTGGGCAGTGAATGGGGGAAGTATGGGTGCTGCAGAATTTGTGGGCTGCCAATCAGGATCTGCAAGCACATCTGGAAGGATACTAGGGGCTCTACGGGCCTGTGTGTGAATTCTTGGTGGTTGCAGGACAATACTTGTGCTTGCCACCGCACCAGCTTGTACTACATTTATGGGACACCAAGTGATACTGCAGTGCTGGTATGTGAATGACCAAGATGTACTAGGCCACTGGAGCTCGCAAGTTCACCAAAAGGTAGCACGGCAGTAGTACTGGCACTCTGCTACATATGAGAGTCATCAAAATTTACTGGCAAGTGCTAACAGACATCAGGCCTGATTCTGCGAACACTGCGGTTTTGAGTGCAATGTATAAAGTGACAGTGACCTACTGACACTGCACTTGCTGGGGGAGAAGGGGGGGTAAGCGTAGGGACTAAACGCAGGTGTCGGGGCTGATCCCACTAACACTGCATTTTTTGGGACATTATACAACGCTGGTGTAGTGCTGATCTGATCAAAGATATTGATCCGTTCAGACACTATACTAGCAATGGAGGTTTATTGTGCATGAGCGTGTTCCTGGCAATCAAGGGGTTAAATGTGATTACTGGTGTACTGACAGGCAATCTGACACTATCTTGGAGAGGCGTGAAAACCAAGGGAGTGCGAATCACATCTATATATGTGATTTTGCATACCTGTGCCGCCCTGTAGTGGTATTTCTGCTATAGGGCGGTCAGAAGCAATTTGTGTTACGGCGCTGAGTTATTTTAACTGACAATTGCACAGTCATGCAACGCTGTACTAAAATTAAATTTATGTCCTTTTTTCCCCATGAATTGAGCTTTCTTTTAGTGGTATCTGATCGCCTGTGCATTTTTTATTTTTTGCGCTATAAAAAAAAGACGGACAATTTTGAGAAAAAAAACTATATTTTGGAATTTTGCTATAAAACATGTCCAGTAAAAAAAATTTAAAATCAAATTTCATCATAAATTTAAGCTAAAATGTATTCTGTGACATGTCTTTGTTAAAAAAAAATCCCAATACCTGTAAATTATTGGTTTACGTAAAAGTATCTACAAATGGTGGTAGATATACACGAAATTTTATATATATATATATATATATATATATATATATATATATACATACTAATAATGGGTCGGCGACTTATGGTGGGACTGTGGCTGCCATTCTGACACTGGGGGGGAACTGACTTGGTGTCACTGACATCCCCAGTGACACCTATACAATGATCAGTGCAAAAAAAAAAAAAAACCACTGACACTGTACTAATGGCACTGGGAGGAAGGGGTTAACATTAGAAGGCAATCTAATGTTAACCTCTTTAAAGTAGTGTAGTGCTGAAAAGCAAAAATGCCCTCATCATGAAGGGAGTAAAACCTCCCATAGGCCAAGTGGTTAACCACTCGCCCTCTGGATGGCTTTAACCCTTTCATGACCAGGCCATTTTTTGCTATTCAGCATTGTGCTACTTTAAAGCGGTAGTAAACCTAATAATTAAAAAAAAAAAAACTTTTCCTCTGCAAGGCGATATCACAATGTGCTAGTATCTTAAAACGAAGCCCTCCAGCGGCGCGCTGTCACCACCGAATGGCCAAGCTACGATGACGGAAATTTTTACAGCACACAGCTCTGAAGGAATGGCACAGCCATGCCTTTCCTTCAGAGCGCATATACAGGTGCTGCTACACAAGTAAATATCTCCTAAACAGTGCACATTTAGGAGATATTTACAGTACTTACAGGTAAGCTTTATTATAGGCTTTCCTGTTGGTACAAGTAAAAAAAACTAAAAAAATAGACTTTACTACCACTTCAACCTCTCTGGAGGTATTCCCGAGTGTAGCTCGGGGTAAAGTTTCAGCACCACAAGCGGTAACCCCCCCCGAGCTACACTTGGGAATACCATGCAGCGTTGCTCCGGGATTCTTTCTGCACTTACCTTGTCCTTCACTCCTGCGATGTCCCCCCTGCAGCATCCCCAGCAATGTCCTCCAGCCGATGCCGGCATCTGTCTTTATGGGTTCCGTTCCCTGTGACGTCAGGACGTACGGGGACGGAACTGGTGGGAAATTTAAAAATGTCAAAAAGTGACATTCACTAAATGCACTAAAATCACACAGTAAAACATTATTGTATTAAACCATTTCACATACATTTTGTCCCTAGTGCTTTGTCCTGTGCCCTGCCTGCATTTTTACTGTTCTTTCTGCCTTGAAACTGAGATATGTCCATGGCGTCCAAAAAGTGTCCCTTTAGGTCAAAAGCGGTTTTAGATCGGCTAGAGAACAGTGATAGTAAATTAGAACCACTTGCAGAATTGAGTGATAATGATTCGTAGGGAAATTCATCATCAGACACTGAAAACGATTTTGCGACTTTGCTCAGTGATGTGAGAACTTGGCGCTATATTTCAAATTTCAGTGTTTTTGGTTTGATTATATTATTGAATTAAATTTATTATTATTATATTGTTTTTTTTTTTATGGTTATTTATTAAATTATAATTTATGATTTCGTGTTTCAAATTTTAACATACCCGGGATTTCAGTGAGTTATTCCTACAAATTACAGGCCTACAATAAAAAAACTACATATTTCCATGCAAAAAAAAAGTACCGCTTTGAGCACAGAAATACTGACATAATCAGACCGCTAGGGAGGTTAACTGGAAATTGAGTGGTCATACAATGCTGTACCCAAATAAATTTTTTTTATAATTTTTTGGCACACAGAGATTTCTTTTGGTGGTATTTGATCATTTTTGTAGTTTGATTCCTGTTAGAGTGATGATTACTGTAACAGCAAGGTTTTGCACATTCATGAGTGGGTTACATTCATTACAGCTTTGATTATGATTTCATGTGATTCACCCACAGCTATCACATGGTATAGGATGCTGTGACTGGCTCAGGTACCATGTGATAGCTGTTGGCCAATCACATAATCACATGTTTGTTGACAATGTGATCATATAGCGATCACATGATCCCTCAGCCATTCAAAGTGGCCAGGCATCGGGTGCAGCTGGGGAGAGGCTGCCAACTACTGGAATTTTATTACATGCCACTCTGAGATTATACACTGTAAAGGCATATTGTCTTTGTTTTTATGAAAGTTAAAAGTTAAAAATTAAGTAAAAAAATTAAGTTAAAAAAATATTAAAAAGTTAAAACATTGGGGGGGCAAGGCTTGGGCGCAGATGTGAGGGAACAGACTGATGCTGAGCTCCCCCCGTGAATCCTGTGGTACTCCTGATCCTGAGGCACCCATAACTTCTTACCCACACCCTGGTCTCTTGCAGTGTACCCACACTGTGCCTAGTGTGCTTGAGCCCCTTTTTTCGGCTCCAGCTCGATGTCTAAATGCGGTTAAGAGGTGGAAGGGCCTAGTGGCGCAACTCTGCAAGATGGCGCTGGCTCCCTTCCACAGCCACAAGGGCCAGCCAAGGATAGAACAAAGGACATTGCTGGCAAGCTGGAGAGGTTCTGTATGCGTGCACTCCATCCAGGACTCGGACTTCTCAAACAGTGAGTGACTCTGCAGGGGAACCCTAGCAGCTTCAGCCTGCCTCTCACTCCCCCTGGGATGCTGTAGAAGGAGGGGGGACTGCACCGGAGGCCATGTGGAGTGCTGAGAGGAATGGGGGGAAAAGCAGGCCTGCTCTGCACAGATCACTGACCCACCAACCTTAGCAGACATTTTTGCAGCAGTGCAGACATGTAGGGGTTTATTTACTAAAGCTGGAGAGTCCAAAATCAGACTCCCTTCTGCAAAGAAACCAATCAGCTTCTAACCTCAGCTTGTTCAATGAAGCTTTGGCAATGCAACCTGGAAGCTGATTGGTTTCTATGCAGAAGAGAGTCTGATTTTGGACTCTCCAGCTTTAGTAAATAAACCCCGTAATGTCTCACTGCATGTCATGTCCAGTCAGGTGCTTGGCATTAAGGAGGATATTGCCTTGGTTCAGCAGGCTCTATTGATGATGATCTGGCTCCCATGAAAGCAGATATACAGGCCACAAGAACAAAAGTCATTCATCATAAAAATAGGTTGGAGGCCATAGAAAACAGACAACTCAGAAACAATATTCGTATTCTGGGCCTGTCTGAATGTGCAGAGGGCAAGCAACCAGCTGCGTTCATTGAACACTGGCTATTGGAAGTCTTTGGGAAGGATAGCCTTACTGCTCTGTTCACTGTTGAAAGAGCTCACAGGATTCCCGCCAGGCCCTTGCCTCTGGGTAACCCTCCTTGCCCACTCATTCTGAAATTGTTAAACTACAAAGACAGGGACAAAATCCTCACCTTCAGAGAGGAAATATTGACTATCAAGGTTTTAAGGTCTCTTTTTTCCCTGACTTATCTACAAAAGTCCAAAAACAAAGAGCAAAATCAGGATGTTGAAAACGCCTTTGGGCACTTCAATTGCCATATGCTGTGTTATACCCATTTAAACTCAGGGTTGTGGATGGCAACAATACACAGTACTTTGATACCCCATCTGCTGCTTGCTCCTGGCTGGATCGCAATGAACAACTGTGTAATGCTAACAAGTGATTTGCCCATCCTAATAAAGATGTGTTTTCTATGTGCCTTCCATATCCTGCTAGGCGGGTGGCGAACCCCCATTATATTATCTTATCAGGTTTCAGGTGCTCATGCATCCCTGGTTTCCAAGCTACTGGAGCTGTCCCCAGTAGTATCCCTGAGGGGAATGTATGATTGCTTGTTAATACTGACAGTTTTTTGTTACACAAGTTGATCTTTCAACATATTGGAGTAGCTCAAGCTGGTTCTCTGTGTGCTGCAATTGTGCCATATGCCCCAGATTACCTAGGTGCCTTCTTCCTTCATTTTGGCTTCATCCTTCATAGCTGGCACATGGGGTCCTCTTCTACGTCTATCCAGGATAAAGTGTTTCGGGATTTTTGTGGTCTTCTACAATCTCAACAATTTCAGAAAAACATGCCAAGATGGCTGCCCACTTGACTTTGATTTCCTGGAACGTTAGGGGACTGGCTGATGCTTGTAAAAAGCAGGCTGTGCTGAGTTCTCTGTTGTCCTACAATCCACAGAGCCGCTGATAAAGGGATACCACCGGGCTTCCTGTAGGGGGCCCGACCTCATCACTTTAACAGAGGGGCCCGGCCAGCAGCAGCTTCCAACCTCATAATGTAGTACACATGTGCATAAATAATGTAAACATCTAATGTTCCCCTGTGGGTCCCAAGTAATAGATCATATTCCCTGGGCTGGGGGGGGCGGCCCATCAGTTTATCCAGAGGGGCCTGGGAGATTGTAAGATAGAGGCACTTTTTTTTTTTTCTTTTTCGGCACAGGCGGATTCACACAACAGCCAGTGCTCCATTTGCTCGTAAATGTCTACCTCAAACTCCCTGCTGATGGTGGAGTGATATCATCTTCTTTCCTGCCTGCTGAGAAGAGGGCGGGCTCTGGCGGAGAGGAAATCATCAGCACGGCAGGACTGTGGCAGGCTCAGGGCAGACTGAGAGCTATCAGGAGCAGGAAGAGGTCCCATTTCGGAGGGTGGCTGAACAGTGACAGTCATATCTGGGTAGCATGCTTACTGTGTGTTCACATCAGCAGGTTCTGTATGGCTCTGTCACAGTGTCACATAGATGTTGGCGTTGACGTTGTTAAGTTCTGGCTGTACTGTTTGTAACAGATTAAACTGTAAGTGGTACAGCCAGAAGTTAACAAAGTCAGCCCCCAACATCTATGTGACACTGTAACAGAGCCATACAGCACCTACTGATGAGAACACATAGTGAGATGCTGATTTACACTGAGGGCCAGTGCAAAAGTCTACAGTACACAGGAGCATATTGGTGACTCCTCCCCTATCCCCCCTCATCCATCCAGAACCCCCCCACACTATCCTACTGCCATTGTGACAAGAGAGGGATATCTGCTGTCCCATACTGGCCTGCTGTGCCTTACCTGTCCCACTGCCCCCTTCCTGTCCTGCTGTCCCCCTCCTGTCCCGCTGTGCCCCACTTGTCCCCACTGCCCCCCGCCTGTCCCCCCTCTTGTCACATTGTGCCCCACCTGTCCCACTGCCCCCTTGCTGTCCCACCATGCCCCACCTGTCCCGCTGTGCCCCATCTGTCCCACTTCCCCTTCCTGTCCAGCCATGCCCCACATGTCCCACTACCTCCTTTCTGTCCTGCTGCCCCCTTCCTGTCCCACCTCCTGTCCTGTTGTGCCCCACCTGTCTGCCCTCCTGTCCCGCTGTGCCCCACCTGTTCCACTGCCCCCCCTCCTGTCCCACTCTGCCCCACCTGTCCCCCCCCTCCTGTCCCACTGCCTCCTTTCTGTTCTCTTCCTGTCCCGCTGTCCCCTCTCCTGTCCTGCTGTCTCCCCTCCTGTCCCGCTGTCCCCTCTCCAGTCCCACTGTCCCCTCTTTTGTCCTGTTGTCCCCCCTGCTTTCCCTCTGACCTCTTTCCTGTCCCGCTGTCCCCTCTCCTGTCCTGTTGTCCCCCCTCTCTTGTCCCGCTATGCCCCACCTGTCCTACTGCTCCCTTACCTGTCCAGCTGCCCCTCACTTGTCCCATTGCAGTGTGACATGGGGGGGCAGTGTCACTCTAATCACACACATTTAGGAATGACCGATCCTCCCATATCTCACCTATCCTACAGAAGCTCCTCCAGATGTTGTTGGTGTAGAGGATCTTATGCCAGAAGGGGTAGCTTTTTCCCAGGCAGGAGAAGATCTCTGGCTGCAGCAAAGAGTGGAGGTCCTCTTCTTCCTTCTCCTCTATGGGGCCACCCACTAGCACCCCCTGGCTCCACCCACCCCACACAGCTGGGAGCACACCACCATTCCTGACAACACAGGAGCCTGCCTGACAGTGTCCCCCATGCACTCCCTGCACACACCTGAGATTGGACCACCGCTCGCCCTCCTCTGCACCCTGGCAGATCCACTCTGACAGCAGGACATGAAGACCACTCTGCCTGCCAGTTACTGCTCTCTCCTCTGACAGCAGCCTCGTGTATGCAAACTAAAATTTCCATGCTGCGCCCTTCTTCCCACTGGCAGCAGCATGGATGATTAAGTTTTCCTGCTGGGGGGGGGGAGAACATAAGACTGGTATTACAGAAAATCCGAATCCCCAGCAAGTGGCTGGGGATTCAGATTTTACTGCCCCCTCCCCTGCCCAGCACGCTAAGGCAGATGCCTACATTGCATTATGCTGGCCCTGGCTTTTGATATTTGTATGCTTATTCCATATATTATATAACACTTAAAGACAAAGCTGCATTTTGTTTTCAATCGGGACCAGGGGTTTAGTCAAGGG